TATATATATATATATATATATATATATATATATACATACATATATATATACCGGTAATCTTTTTAAATCGCTATCATAAGTGTAAATATGTTAGAGACAATTAAAAACTGACAATGAAATGAGTTGCCCCAAAATTAAGTTTGAATTAAGTTTGCTACTTAAGAAGTGCATATACAACTAGTAGCTCTTCAGAATCAAGAACAAGAAGTAGCTGTCAGTTTCAAAAATGTTGGTGATTCCTGCTTTATAGTTATAAAACAATTGTTCTGAAATTCTGAACTTTTGTTCCGTCACGCTCCTTTAAACAACACGTAATCATAAAGTACAGTTAATGGTAATTTATCACAAAAAAGTCCTGATGACAGCAAGATACCAACAAAAAACGCATGGCGTGAAAAACCTCGGAAGTACTGACAACAATGTTGCCGGATATAACTTTTGGGTTGAAAATAAAGGTCATTAAAAAAAAAAAAAAAAAGATTAGATCGTGAGTAAAACTCCCCACTGAATAAAAAGTCATTTTACGACTGGCTGAACAGGCGCTCCAAATCGGAGCCTGGTCACTCGCATTGTTTCGCAGCGCCTGGTAAATATCTTTGGCCAGCTGTCCTTTCCACCACTGGTCTTCTAGCTCCATCACAGGGGATTTTGAAACATCTGAAAAAAAAACACGAAGTGTAATGACATTCTAGCAGGCATTACTTGGTCTGTCCAGAAACTTAAAATACATCCGTGCCATTCCAACATTTGATTTTATGGGACACACATGCAGTCAGTCGTAACTGTTTCTCGCTAGAAGCTATATGCTGTTCAATTTGTTTCAAAACACAACATAAAGAGTATTTGGAAAGGCGAATAATCACCCAGCGAGCAATTGAAGGGAATATTGCGGCCCGCTTTGCCGAAATAAATTTCAGTGTACAAGTATTCCGGCAGAACATGCTACCTCACCGTACTCGTAATCAGTCAGTGTGAAGCTTGGTCTGTACACAAGCCAACAAACGCTGCTGGGGCTTCACTGTCACCGGAAATAGCAAAATCAAAGTGAGGCCCCTTCAATTACAAAATGAAACGCGCCGCAAATGGAGGTCCCTAACAATATATTTTGTCATAATTGATGCGGAATTGCGTTATACTTTATCATTTTGATATAAAATGTACACACGAACGTTTGATTGGTAAATGGATTTTTTTCAGTAAGTCGACACTGACCTTATTTCAACCGGATTTCGAATTTGTCATTGAAAGCAGCACAATGCCCAGCGAAGCAACAGGACTCAGCCAATTAAAGGTAAGTAGACCCATTTAATATCCAATCCCTGGATAGCATTGAGGGCTCTGCTTAAAACCCTCCGCTGATATACTCTTCTATCGATCGATGACCTCTCTCTGGTAGAACAGACATTTGGGATCGTCATTTTTATTTTTTCAAATATTGATGAAAAAGAAAAAAAATTCTGCTCAAGTAGAAATGGCACTTTTGTCATCCACTGCAAAGGGGATATGCTTGAGCAATACTAGAGGTATATCTGTTTAAGTGCCTGGATTTAATAGCTGGTTGAACCTCCTTAAACAACTTTTACTTCAACCAAATATTTGTTTACTTGCAGATCACACCTGCTAAAATGGTCGAGAAGATTTTTTTGACCGTTTTTCATTTAAAAACTATTGGGATGTCTGGTGTGAATCATTCTCTTGAGGTCATGCCACATCATCATAGTTATAATGAGGTCAGGACTCTGACCTGGCCATTTGGGAAGGAGGATTTTCTTTTGTTGAAGCCATTCAGTTGTTGACTTACTTCACTTACTTCTGTCCTTTATGTCATTGTCCTGTTGAATCACCCATTTTTTGGCAAGCTTCAAAAGGCACATAGAGTCATTATTAAGCTTCCAGAATAATGCCGTGACAAACTTGGGAACGCATTTTTCCTTTCGACGATTGTGACACGTCCACGTCCAAAGGCAGCAGAGCAGTCTCAAACCATGATTAAGATAAGACAAGAAAAACCTTTATTTGTCTAACAATTTACAAAACAAATTTACAGCAGCAAAATTATGAAAGGGAGAAGCAGAAGAACAAAAAGTATACAAATAAATATAAATTATAAAATATCAATATAAGCATATTAAAAATGGGTGAGTGGGGGTGAGCCCAGGTTTTCAGGTCAGGTCTGTCTATTCAATAGCCATTAGGTTTTGATGGTGGTGTTCTGCACCTTTTATTCTTTACACACTGCATTGTGTAAATCTCAACTTTTGATTCATTGATATCCACACAATAGTTTGCTGGTATAGCGCTGTGCAACATTCAGGCACTTTTTGCAAACTTCAAACCTGTAGCTGTGTTTTTTGGACAGCAGTGGCTACCTCCGTGGTGTGCTCAAATAATGACATCCATTCTTGTTTCACTGTTTACCGATGGTAGTTTTGTAAACAGTTGTTAGTATTTGCCTGAGATTTCTGTAAGTCTTTAGCCAACACTGTAGGATTCTTCTTCAACTCATTGAGCATTCAATGGTGTGCTCTTGCAGTCATTTGTACAGAATGGCCAATCTAAGGTTTAAAGCGTGTGTGTGTGTGTGTGTGTGCGTGTGTGTGTGTGTGTGTGTGTGTGTGTGTGTGTGTGTGTGTGCGTGTGTGTGTGTGTGTGTGTGTGTGCGCGTGCGCGACTGTGTGCGGGCCAGCGGTCCTGCATGTGTATCCCTGAGACAGAGAGGATGGAGAGAGATTTTAGCTTGCGCTACACTTTCCATTACAAAGAAAAGGAAATTTAAGTCTTCAGGCCCCTTATATCATGCCTTGGATATATGTACCTGCATATTTGACTTAAGGCTCCTTCTGCCATAGTGATATACGATTATGTGAACAGGATCCCCAACTTCAGTACAACCAACAGAACCTGACTTTATACACCTGGGAATTGGTCTCAACGCACCATGGAAATCGAGGACGTATTTATGAAATATGCAGCAATCGGTAGCAGGGTCAAGGAAGAGCCACTGGCTTCTTTCACTGTTTCAAAATGTGGGTGAATTAGTCGGTGTCAATGGAGTGGCCCTTCCTTTGTCCTGTTGCAGACCTTGATCATCAGATGGTGTAAAGTCCATCACATGACTGTCTGGGTTGGAGTCAGACTTCTCAGGGTTGACGGTTATGAGTAAAATATTCCAGTTGATTCAGTCACTAATATCGATAAGAACAGTGCGTGCGGATTTTGCGTCACAGTCTTATAGTAATAGCCAACCTGACTAGCTCCCGCATGTATTTCATTATGTTCTTTTCATCAATTTAAGATGTGAATTCCTTTGGACAGAATGTGGACTTGACTCTAATTTTATCACTGCTCTCTTCTGTAAATCCTTCCCCTGCCAAACTCGTTACTATCCTGCCAGCATGAGAGCCCACATGCAGGCCTACTGGCCTGCACACACACACACACACACACACACACACACACACACACACACACACACACGCGCGCAGCGCGCACTTCAAACCTACTTTGCAGCATAATAGGCTGTGACAGAATTTGATTCCCATCAATCAAACTAAATCGCATCCTTAATTTATATATTTTCAATGTCTGAGTTATAAATGACTCAACAGTAGCATTTATTGCACAAAAATACCCAGTACTATGAATACATACATACATACATACATACATACATACATACATACATACATACATACATACATAATTCAGCGATTCTGCCTCAAGTAGGGTAGCACAAGCAAAGTGGTTGGTGGGCACGACCCCGTCTACAGGCCACACCCAATTACAATAAGTGGTACAGCATCAAAAATGGATGGGTGAATGGCTTAGAAAGGACATGCGTTTCCTTTCATCCATCCATTTTTGTATACTGATGCCTATCTCAGCTGACTTTGGGCAAGAGGCAAATACAGTAAGTACTTAAATTAATAACAGGAAGAGCATTCAAACTCCACACAGGCAGGCCAAACCCTGGTTTGGAACTGCCAAGGTTTGATCTTGGATCTGCTCACCACATCGCTCATGGTGCACATGCATTTTGAATGACATAAAAATGAATGTATACATTTACAATTTGGGATACAAAGTTACCAAATATTAAAACTGCTCATGAAAATTAAGTATTTTTTACAGTCATTCAGTAATTATAATTGCAAAAACTAGTACATCACTGCCACCCACAGGACACAGGTTTTATCTTTGGCGAAGGTCTGCTCTGCACTCGCAAGTCATGTTTTAAAACACGTCATGATACAACTGTGAGCACGAAATTAAATGTTGTCAGACATTCATACAAATAATAGTGTAAATCAGAGGTTCGTGATATTTTGTGGAAAAGAGGTAGTGGGCATAGGGTCATCAGCGATTAAAAAGGCAATTTCCCACTTAATTCGCTTCTATCTACATGAGTGCCGGCCGTGCTGTCGCCAGAGGCAGCAGGGGGCCTGCAGACAGGACAGGTTGCCGCTTGGTGCCATCAGGCTAAAGGCTAAAGGCTAAAGGGGCTCAGAGACTGTAATCCCCGGATGATGAAACCATCATGGCTGCCACTCGCTGAGCTGTCAAGCTCTCGACAAAAGAAAAGGTAAAAACCGAGACAATTGTATCAACAACTGCTTTGATTTAGGATTTGTGCAGCCTGGTAGCTTCGATTACAGCGTTATCCCGACGCCACGCGAAAATGTGGAATTATCGTAACTTTTGTCGCTACGCGTTTTAGTTATCAAGTTATTTCGTCTATGCGGGCGTCTGGTGCGTCACGTTATTTTTAAATAACTAAAACGCCAGTTCACGACACACTTTCCCCGTTAGTTCGACACTAAACGCACACGGGGTGTTTTACTCGGACGTTCAAGCGGTGACAAGTCTTTGACTCGGTTGCTTTCAAATCGTCACTTCCCAATTCCCTAAGCGTCTGTCGCTTACAGTCTCGTCACTTTGTTGTGGTTAAGTTATAGTGCAATGGCCGCCCCACTCACGACGAGGTTGCGATGATATGATTACTTCGTAGACTCATTCCGCTGAATATATTGGTGCTTTTGCAAACTCAAACGGTCATTTTAATGCAACTACTTCTTAGTGCATTTATTGCCTATGGTGATCAAGCAGATATGAACATATATAGCGAGGGACAGCTCGCTGTTGAGAGGAGTTCCGTGTTCCGTCCTCGGGAAATGATAGGATTTCCACGCAGAACAAGTTGAAACGCAGCCAGCAACAGGTGGACATGCAGCAGAAATATTAGTGTCTCTGTTGGACAAATACTGTACAGTGAATGATCTCTGTTCCATTCACTTGTTGCATCAACAGTTACTGTGTGCAAGGGGCGCAGATGGGATTTGGGAACGGAGTGGGAATGTGGGGGCGCCGAACGAAAGTAATGAGTGAAAATAAATTATGTGTTAAGAGAGAAACAAACAATAATGATCAAAAATGCCGACCTGATCATACATGATGAAATTTGTCTTGAGTTCTTGAGTAACAGTCACACTTAAAAAAAATAGATGTGTTGGTTCAAAAAACATCGATGTTGCTATTTCCACAGACATTTGAAGTTCAAAGTTCCCTCGCTAATTCATGGTTCGGTTATTGCTACTCCATTCTATGGTGGGTTTTCGTTTATGACCATAACTTAATCAATTGCAGTTTTCCCTCACTATTTTGCTGGTTTTCTTGCTGTATTTCTTACTTCTAAGTCAAGTCAGTCAAAAAGAGGAAAAAAAGCGGATTTATTTATTTTGGGAGGGGAAATTCTTTTTCAAAAAACCAAGACAATGAACATTGAAAGCTCACCCCCATCGCCCCCCCCCCCAAAAAAAATACAAACAAAAAAAAAATCGCCTTTCCATCTTCGTGGGTGCATTCAGAAACACACCCCGAGTGCGCTGCTTCACTCAGACTGTTGTTCAAATGTGCCCTTTGGTTATTCAGAGTGCATCAAAAAATGGGGTTCAGTGCAGGCGGTACAAGGACAGTAAACAGCTGCGTTCATAAATTAATGTGAGCAGAGCAGCTCTACATCCTGCACCATGGAAGGAGGACCATGAAATGTTTGCTTAGCGACCTACGTTAGTTTTTCTTTTGATCTTAAAATTGCTTACCTTAACGAGAATCCCACATTGCATTGTAGCCAGAGGTACAATCCGAGTGGATTAATGCACTTTTTAAGTTGATGCTGTGCAAATTGAAATTTAGTTGCCATGACTATCATTGCTGCTTCCGTTCGTTGGTGGGAGTTGCTTCTTCCTTATCTTCTTTAAAAGAAGACGATGACAAAGGCGAAGACGACAAAGATGAAGATGAAAACTACGATGAAGAAGGAGCAGAAGCAATGGTAGTCATGGCAGCTAATTTGTGGTTTGCACAACTTACAACGCACATTAAGTCACTAGGATAGGGGATTCTGGGTACGGTAAGCCTTTTTAGGATAATAGAAAAACGTTAATGTAGTTATTAAGCCACTGTTTTGTTAGCCTTGTGTGGTGCAGGAGTGCAGAGTGCACTCGGCTCACATTTGTTTATGAATGCAGCCTATAATCAGCAGCTTGCCATTTTGGCAGTGACACGTTTTTAAAATGGAAACACCAAAATTGAAATACAGCTTGATTGTATTGTTTGTTATATGGAACAAGTGTGGAAAAGTCTAAAATGTCATTTTCCTATCTGATCTGTAAAGCGAAAATACGATCTGGCACGAGACACAAATCGAAAAATGGCCCATGATTTGTTTTGGATTACTGGTAGTTGTCACTGACATTACTTATACTTATTACTGCTAGTCTTTCTTATCCTGAACAGAAGGTGGGGACAATGTGATGCCTAATGAATAAACAATACACACAGAATGTAAACAAAAATTGGTAACCAAATTGCTCGTTGATGTTTGTTGTCCACTTTTATCAATTTAATATAGGCATTGGCTTTACCTCCCTGGCTAACTGACAGTTAATTTACAACAGAAGAAGAGGACGGTATCTATATTTTAAACATTAACATGTTAAACACAAAGTAAAACATTACAAACTATTTAAAAAAAAAAGTTCCCCAAGGTCACTTGCGCCCCCACTGGCATCGCCCCCCCCCCCCCATGACATCACACCCCTCTATTTAAGGACAGCTCTTAGGTTCAAAGTATCTTAATACATAGTATATTAAATATTTATTCCAGCAATTCCGTTTTCACAAAGAGCTCTGAGTTTCGATCTTTTTTGAGCTTTGACTTTTGAGGTTCACAAAAATAATCTGCCTGGCTCTCATGCCTGGTTCTCTTCCATACATAAACAGGTTGTAAGAGATGCGGGTGCAGCTTTCACATCGGCGTGTATGTTTAGCAGAGGAAAAATAAACACATTTTACAAAGAAGGAAAAGATTTTGGTCTAATTAATTTAAAAGTTATGCATTTTCCCCCCTGTGCCTATGACTAATCAGCATTTTTTACTTTGCCTTTAAAAGCAGAAAGCATAAAACAGGAAGAGAAGGAAGAGCCACATGTGGCTCTGGAACTACGGGTTGCACACCCGCTCATCAGCAAGCTCTGCACGAGCCTGATAACGATCCTAATCATTTGAATCAGGCCTGTTGAAGGAGGGAATTATTGCAGATTTGCAATCCATGTTAAATTCCTTTTCCAACAACACCTGTTTTGGGAAGATTGACCCAGTTGTTCCTTCGGGTTCAAAGGAAGGAGGCCACACCCCTTTTTGCTGAAAATATCCAAATTCGGTGCATCGTAGCGCTTTAACCCCTGCTCCGATTGATCTGAAATCCGAGATTTTGTGTTGTACTGTCAACAAGTACACCAAGGTTAATTAAAATCAAAATCCGCTTGGTTAAAGTCACTGTTTGATTTGGCATGGGTGGATCTTTAATTTAAATGGTTGTGCCTTGTGTTGATTTCTTGTACTCATTTCAGAAACCTGAATGCTCATGGATTTGTTGGATATTTGCAAATTTACCCCTGCTGCAAATAAAAAAACGTGCGCACGCAAGAAGAATAGAGTTTGGCACAAACGGCTCCGCCGAAGGAAACATTCAACTCAGCTCCCAACTATGCAACGTGAAGCTAAAAATGGACCAAAGAAGATAATTGAGGAACCCAAGCAAAGCACAAAATGGCCTTCATCAAAGAAGCCCCACCTGGAGGCCCAACAGAGTGAATGCTGGACAAACCACAGTAGGCCTATAGATGCACTCAGGTTTACATGCAGTCAATGCAAGGACAATCTGGAATATGTTCCCAAAGACTTAATGAGACACTTTGAGGAAAAACACAGTGGGAGCACACCTGTTTTTCCTTGTCATATGTGTCCTTTTGATGCACACAACTTCTCCTACCTTCAAGTTCATCTGTTAAGCCACAAGGACACTTTTTCTAGTTGCAGCATTTGTAATGACGACGTGAAGCGCACATGGTCTGAACTGAGTGCGCATCTGGCAACGCGTCACTGCCAAAATGGCAAATATTCATGTGAAAAGTGTCAGAGATTCTCTACAGGCGACGTGACTTTGTTTTTAGAGCATATGTGTGTATATCATCTTGGCCTCCAAAGAGCAAATGAGATTGAACGTCACAAGGACAATACTCAGTTTGGGTCCATCACGGCAAATCAAACTCTATGTTATCCCCATTGCGCGTATGAAGCACCTCAGAAATGGGTGCTTGCAAAGCACATGAATGCAAACCATAGTTGCCAGAAAGGTAACCAAAAGAAGGAAATCCGTTCCATAGCAAGGAAATCAAACAGCAGTCAAATGAAGCCTAGGTTAACAAGGAGTGCAGTGAGGGACATGTGCTGGTTGACACAGGATTGTCTTTCTCTTCCAGGTAGAGACTTCCTAGATAAATATTGTCATTTGTCTGACCCTCAAACAACACTAAAGAAGACCCAGCAGTTTTTAATGAAATCCGTTGCCGAGGAAAAGGGTGACCAGAAATGGACCAAGGCTCTCAAATCTGTTCTGTCTAATGTTCCTCAAGACATTAACGTCCATCCCAAGTCCGAGAATGGCATCATGCAGAATTCCGAGGATCTCACTGTCCTCACGGTCCAGAACAAGATAACTTTGGCTCAGAACGGTGCTAGTTATGCTAACATGCTGAAGGTGGTGGAGGAGACGGAAAAAGAAAGTCTTACGCCTGAAAATCCTGCTGGTGAAGCTCATGTTGGCCAAAAGGAATGTCCAGTTTTGAATGATGACCCACATTGCCTTGAGAATGAAACTAAGCTAAGTAAAAATACGTTAACTTCCAATCACAATGAATCACTTGAGTGTGTCCAGATCCTGGAAAATGGAGAGAACCAGCAATTAAAGACCAACTTGAATAATGGGGGAAATATAATGCCTGAAGATGAGCAACTCAGTTTCAATGGAATCAATATTTATGATGAGCCAATTGTCACAAATGGAAGCCAAGAGCAGAAAGCCACCTATAAAGATGAACCCAAAAGTAAGACTGTGAGAAGAAAACGCAAAAGAAAGTCCAGATACAAAAAGATGAAGAAAGTAACCTCTGAATTAGCCTTAAAGATTGTGTTAAAGAAAAATCCTGTCAAACAGAGGCATTGGGTGTCACAGGGCCCTTTACTTACAATAGACGTTCCGGTGGAGGACCGGTGCAAACGACCAAATCCACACAACACAACAGTGCAGGTTTCTGTCCCGGTGACTGATCAGCATGACCCCCAAGAAGCCATAACATCAGCACATGCACCATCAGGAGCTGAACTTCCTCCACATTGTGCTGCAAAGTCAGCTGGGCCTAAAAATGTACTCATAAACCAGCCTCTTATGTTTGAAGATTTACAATTGCCACCTGAAAGAGAAGGTGATGATGCAAATCATTCCCTGCACTTCTCGGAGACAGTTCTTGACAAAAGCATCCTGTCAAATTTAACAAAGACTGCAGTCCAAGTGTGTTCCGAGAACTCGCAGCTTCCCTCCTCCAGTGTTTTCCCAGTTTGCAGTGTGTCAACTGTTGATGGAGCCACTCAAAGCAGCCACAGCAAGTCACCCCCTCTTTCCCAACCTGCTATTACATCACATGGTAAGCCTGCAAATGATAGCTCCTATCGAGATAAAAATGGCTGAAGGTTTAACCCACTGTTTTGTCTTTTGACTTCACGTTTGTGTTGCACATAGGATACATTTCTAAATGAGTGTCAAATTTGTGTGATAAACTCAGCAGGAGCAAGGCCTGCACTGTCTGCAGAACAGAGTGACCAGCGTGTCGTGGAGCCTCCAGACTTCAGATCAGACCGTCTCAGCAATACCGATCCTCCATTGGAGAAAGCCATCCCACAGGAATCATGGCCGGCCTTTGTACGCTGCCGGCAGCCTGCTCCAAAAAGCCTGCAAAGAACCCTGAAGTTGATAGCCATGAATCCCTCTCAGCTGATAAGGTGCCCAGTGAGAGACCAGCCTGTTGTAGTACTCAATCACCCGGATGCAGACATCCCAGAAGTGGCCAGGATCATGAACGTGGTCAACCGTTACAGAGGAGAGGTGCAGAAGGTTGTTCTGTCACAGAGGACTCTGAACGCACTTTCAGCCATGACCAACGGGACCCATGAGACAAACCATTATATGGATGCTCAGAGCCAACCACCGTGGTGTGGGGAGAACTTGGTTCAGGAAAGGTTTGTTTTGAAGCTCAGGCTGCGGAGACTGAGCAGGAAAAAGTATGAGGTGGTCGGTGCAGTTTCACCCAACAGGAAGGTGGCAAAGAAATTCAGATGCTGGTTTTGTGGCAGGGTTTTTGAAAATAAGGAGATGTGGTTGGTCCACCGGAAGAGGCACCTGATGGAGTGGAAAAGGCCAAACTGTGAAAACTTTTAAATGTCTCATACACTGGAAGATGACTGCAATACAGCAAAACAATCGTAGAAGCAGTGACAATCAGATGAATTAAAAGTCTTAATTAAATCTTGTTGCACATCCTGGACAAGCTCAGGGTAACATGACCTACCATAATCTTTTATCTCGTCCAGTTTGAGTAGCACCTTTAGAACTTCATGAAGGGGTTGATTTAATTATTAGTACCCTTTATGTTTGTCTATGCAAATGCTTTATTTAAATTACACTGTCGCGTTTTAGAAAACACTGTAAATGTGTATTGCCACATAGTCTTGAGTTGTATGTACGGGTAGGCTGTAACTAGCATATTTATGTTTTTGGAATGGGATGCTGAGACTCATGTTCGTCAGACCAAAAACTGTGTAGTGTTAAAAACAGAAGAAAAAGCAATAAGCTGTTTTATTCAACATTTATTTATGGCTCTTCTGTATAGATTTCTTTTTTGGGCCAATTAACTAATTCTTGTAAATGTTTTGTAAATCTGAACTATCGTTCCAATCTCATATTTTCTGTGACCGATAGTTTTTTTCATCTGGGGGAGCAGATATTACTTAACGCGCTACGTTTTTATACCTAAAGTTGTGTTTTATGATGTCAGCGAATGACAGTGTTTTTTTTTTTAATCCCCCAAGGCTGGATGCCCCTCCCCCCAATGTAGTTTACTTTTGTTTGACTTGAAAATGATAATCTAGTTTTTTTTTGTTTTTTTTTTTTAACTTGCACTATGAAAGGAGGATTTCGATTTCCTTTACCTCACCCCAAGCCAACAACAATCTCAAACCGGTCTTCTCCTGTGGCAAAACATTTCGTAAAGCAGCCATTAGATCTCAGTATTGATAGCACAGAAAGTGTGTGTGTGTGCGTGTGTGTGATTCCAGGACCATCCCTGTCTGTGACTCAATGTAAATAGCAAACCTTAAGCTCAGACAAGAGGTTTCTAATTGTACATAGTTGAGCTCGTGGTACGGTGTAAGAATAAGATATTTTCATTAAGTGCCTTAATTGGTTTAGTTATGCAACCAATCTGCATGAGCATTATTTGTTGATCAGAGAATAAGTGCAAGTTGTCTGCTCCTGGTGACATGATTAAAGGAACCGAGTTACGTATTGCTTTTGCTTTATTTAAATAAAATTACAACTTGAAAGAAAAAAAATCCTGCTTCTGCTCAAGCAACACTTTCTCAGCCTTTTTGTTAATTTGAATACTGCTGGAGAATTGCAAAGCATCTCAATAAACATGTTGAAAGTCTTCTGAGTCTGCTAATTCAGTGCCCCATGGCGAGCCTGCTTATCCCGCGGGCATCACAGACAAGTGTTAGAATGCGTTAGAAGCCTGGCAGTGATGTCCAGATGTGGTTGGTTGTTTCACAGGAAAACGCAGCCTGGCAGAATCCTTGCTGTTGCTCTTGCTGTCAATCAACACCAGAGGGTTCTTCTGGTGGTTTTCGATGATGTGAGAGACGCTGTGGAAATACTAAAAAGGATAAATCAGTTTAAGTCATAATAGTGAAACTTTCAGTTATACAGTGCCACATGTCTCAAGAATTCATCCATTTTATGTTCCGTTTTGTCCTTATTAGGTTTGCAGTTTCACTGAGATTATCCCAGCTGACTTTGGGCAAGAGGTGGGATGCACCGGGACTGTTTTCCAGCCAATCATAGGGCTCATAAACTCCTGATTATTTATTTATTATTTTTTGGGGTCGGGCGGGGTCAGCCTCACCTCACCTAATGTACAATCAGGCTGAGCTGGCCTAGGGGCATATGCCCAGGGCACTGGCATCTTTTCGTGCCAACGTGGTGCTCTTTAACAGAGACCAGCCAACAATGTAGAGGATGAATCCCATCAATCTAGTTATGATATGGACAGCAAAATGAAACAATCAACATCAGTAGTAGAGCTACGTGGACTCAGGAGTCATGTACAGTATTAACGTTTTATAAGACTGACTACAGATTGACTCTAAGAATCAAACTTTTTAATAGCATTATTTTCACACTATAGCAAAGTACACAGTCATCATTTCATGAAATTAAATGCACACATATTCGTAACCTTGCTCAACACATTCATAATACAAACAGGAACAAACCTAAAAAGCAGCATTTACAATTTTGAAGAATTAAAGAGATTTATGTGTCATTGTCCTTTTCAGATATGAATTGAATACATGTGTCATGAATCACTGTATGCAAAACAGTCACTGCTATGATTGGCTGCTAGCTAGCAAATGTAAAATCCGTGCATGAGAGATGGACACAAAAGCAAAAGTAACAGCAAATGAAATGGCACTAGCTAATGAATTAAGATGAGCAAAATGCTGTTTTTTTTTTTTT